AGGACTTTATAATAACAATATATATTTTTTTGTGGATACTAATATTTTTTTGTCACTATATCAAATTGGATATTTTACTATATTTCTATTTGCAATATTTATTGAATGTTGGTGTAATACACTGGTGCACAGCAGCAAATTCTCAATTGTATATACTGAAAGGGTCTCTTTGTGCGCTGGGGTTCTGTGATACAGTTATAACTGAGATCAGTATGGTGTCAGCCAAGAAAAGTATAGTGTCAGGCTTGGGCAGTATAATGTCAAACTAGAGCAGTAAAGTATCAGATTAGGGTGGTATTGTGTCCGCGTAGGGTAGAATAGTGGCAGGTTAGGGTAGTATAGTTGCAGGTTAGAATAGTATAGTGACAATATAGTGGCAGGTTAGGGTTGGCATTGGGGGGCACAACTAAAATCTGGGGGCATAGCCAACCCCAGAACCCCCCTAGATCCAGCCATGTTTATCATGCATGCATGCATGTATACAGCTTAATCTGTCTTCCTTTTGAAACTCATTAGTATATGTCTACAATTATCTGGTTAAGCAGAATCCACCTACAACAAACATCCCAAAATCCTCCTTTTACAGTACAGCTTATGAAATACTAGGTGGATCCCTTTGAGAACGTGCGTGCACACGAAACGCATCAGGGAGGAGACTGCGTGCTGACGTCACACCGCTGCGTCCTCATGATGGTCCAGCGGCCATCTTTGTAAGTGCTTTTTATCCATTGATGATTTTATGTTCCACGTGGTTGCTATCTTTTTAATAAAACATACTACACTATATGATACTGTCTCCGGGCATGGTCTATGAGCTTGCCTTCTAGGAGGAATCCCTTTCCTTGGTTCACCTTGGGCTGGAGATGGAGACTACTCTACTTTTGATTGTGCATTTGGTACTGTATATCACTGGCTTCTGGAAAGATCTCACCTTCAACCGGGTCACTAGCAGGAGGAACAAGCAGTAACACATCTTAGTGTCATTCCGCTCTGGGCTTGCTTGCTACTTACCCCTGGTGAGTGCATTATGGTGGAGGTGCAGTGCGGAAGTCACAGAAGTCACTACATTTTTGGGACTATTATATTTAGAGGACTTATATATTTTCATTTGTTATTTGTTATACCGTCCATTTTGTTTCTTCATTGGAGTATTCACTATTCTCGATTTTCTTTTTTTTTTATGATTATTTCTTTCTCTTTTTTACTATTACCCAGGTCATCATTGATTATAACACACATTTTTATTAGCACTGCACATTGATATTATAGTATGACATCCGAAGATGACATGACTGCTCTTCAGTGTAGAGTGAGGCTACTGGTTTGATGTTACAAATGTATGTACAATAGTTTTGACAATTGACATAGGACTTATTTGAGATATAATAAGAGCATTAATTTAATTTGCAAAATATTCAGTTGAACCTTTTGTAAGTCGGCTGTTGTTTCTGCTCATTGAAGTCATGGAGATTTGTATTTACCTATTCAAGAGCACATCAGCAACTGCTTGTCTCTTGGCAGTGAGAAGGATATAGAACATATTCTTTCAATTAAATCTCACATTGTTAAGGCTTTATGAGCTTCAAAGAAAAAAAAGTTTGAATTAATTCTAAAATTACCAGGCCATCTACAGTATACAGTATACCTCTATGCTGATGACACCCAGATCTATCTCTCCACTCCCCAGCTCACCCCCTCAATCTCCTTACGTATCACAAATCTACTAAGCCACATATCAGCATAGATGTCAGATCACTACCTTAAACTCAATCTTTCAAAAACCGAGCTTGTAATATTTCCTCCTCCCTGATTCCCCACTCACGACTTTACCATTAAGATCAACAGCACAACCATTGGTCCTTCCCCTCATGCCAGGGTGCTAGGCGTAATCCTAGACTCTGACCTCTCCTTTGGCCCCACATCCACTCACTGGCTAAATCCTGCCGTCTCAACCTCTGGAACATTTCCAAAATCCGCCCCTTTCTGACCAATGACACCACAAAACAAATTATCCACGTCTTGGTTATATCCCGCCTCGATTACTGCAACTCCCTCCTCACTGGTCTACCGTTACACAGGCTATCCACCCTTCAGTCTATTATGAATGCTGCTGCTAGACTCATACACCTTACCAACCGATCAGAGACTGCTGCCCCTCTCTGCCAATCCCTCCACTGGCTTCCACTAACCCAACGTATAAAATTCAAAATACTAACCACAGCTTAAAAAGCCATCCACAACACTTCCCCTAGCTACATCACCAACCTCATCCACAGATACCGCCCAAATCGCCCGCTCCGCTCCTCCCATGATATCCTCCTCTCTAGCTCCCTCATCACCTCCTCCCACGCTCGCCTCCAGAGCCTCTCCCATCCTCTGGAACTCCCTACCATAGCATGTTCGGTCAGCCCCCACCCTGTCTGCCTTTAGGCGATCTTTGAAAACTCTCTTCTTCAGGGAAGCCTACCCCACCTCCACCTAAGAACTGTACTTGAATCACCTCCGCCAGATCATCCCCCGCAGCTATCACCTTTTGTATCACCTCCCCCTTCCTTTAGATTGTAAGCTTCACGAGCAGGGCTCTCATATTCCTTCTGTACTGAAATGTATTGTAATTGTAGTGTCTCCCTTATATTGTAAAGTGCTGCGCAAACTGTTGGCGCTATATAAATCCTGTATAATAATAATAATAATATACTTCATTTCTAATCTTAGATTGTAAGCTCCAAGGAACATGGCCCTCTTACCCTCTTGTATTGTTGCTGTATTGTCTCCCGTTATATTGTAAAGTGCTGAGCAAAATGTTACTGCTATATAAATCCTGTATAATAATAGTAATAATAATAACTTTTTAAATGTCAGTAGAATGGAAATGCTATTGATTCTATCGGATGAAAACAGATGTACTCCCTTGGTTTTTTCCTGCCTAGTGGGGTCTTAAGGAATGCTGACACAAATTATAAACGTTCAGAGCCCAAAATATAATACATTCAAATACACAAAGTCACACATCAAAGGCAGGATAAATGACAGACCACAAGGTTGTAGCCTCAGAGTATTACATCACAGTTAGTGCTATCCGAACTACTACTTCCATTCTTTAAGTTATTTATCACTATGAGTAACTGTTTCCTCAACTGAGTGTACAGAAAAAAAAGTTTCAATAGTTATTTATGTTCAAATTATTTTAGCATGTTTCATGATAGTTAAAAGGAGGAAAATTCAATTCTTTGACATAAAAAATGACATATGGTATTCCATACTTGAAAGTGGCACACAAAGAGGAAATATACAACTACTTCCTCCCAAAAGAACATGCAAAGGGAGTTCAGCATTTAAAGACATTTGCTTCTCAACCCTCAGGTATTCCATACCATGGATTGTTTATTTAATGGGCTAAATGAGTTACTCAATTTCCTACACTTTTTTAAGCAGAGAACACAAGTTTAGTGTTATTATTCTATTCCTGTGTAGACATATACAGTACCAGACTTATCATTTAAAGGCAAACTTTTCATCAATGCATTGAAAAAACTCTTCATTTATATCAATTATAGTTAAAAACAATATTGCAGATAGCTATAATTTCATTTGTTGGTTGTCCCTGCCTGCATTTACAGAAATCAAACATATGTCCACTACTGACAGCATTTTGGGACCCCTTTCTCATTACATTAGTTCTAAACTGGGCAGTGGCTAAGTGGTTAGCACTTCCGCCTGGCAGTACTAGGATCATCGGTTCAAATCCCAACCATGGCACCACCTGCCTAGAGTTTGCATGTTCTCCCTGTGCCTGCATGGGTTTCCTCCAGGTACTCCAGCTTCCTCCTACACACCAAAGACATGCTGGTAGGTTAATTGGATCCTGTCTAAATTGGCCCTAGTATGTGTGTGTATATATGAATGTGAGAGAGAGACCTTAGATTGTACACTCCTTGAGGGTTAGGGACCTTAGATTGTACACTCCTTGAGGGTTAGGGACCTTAGATTGTACACTCCTGGAGGGTTAGGGACCTTAGATTGTACACTCCTCGAGGGTTAGGGACCTTAGATTGTACACTCCTCGAGGGTTAGGGACCTTAGATTGTACACTCCTCGAGGGTTAGGGACCTTAGATTGTACACTCCTCGAGGGTTAGGGACCTTAGATTGTACACTCCTCGAGGGTTAGGGACCTTAGATTGTACACTCCTCGAGGGTTAGGGACCTTAGATTGTACACTCCTTGAGGGTTAGGGACCTTAGATTGTACACTCCTTGGGGGTTAGGGACCTTAGATTGTACACTCCTTGAGGGTTAGGGACCTTAGATTGTACACTCCTTGAGGGTTAGGGACCTTAGATTGTACACCCCTCGAGGGTTAGGGACCTTAGATTGTACACCCCTCGAGGGTTAGGGACCTTAGATTGTACACCCCTTGAGGGTTAGAGACTGATGTGAATGTACAATATATGTTGATAAAGCACTGTGTAAATTGATGGCGCTATATACCTGAAATAACTAAATAATAAACTGTCTAATATATCAGTTTCTGATCTACACGCCAGACATGTTTACTTTTAAAAGCATTTAAGCTGCCTTCACACCTATGTTTTTTGGTAACACGTGGTAAAAGGCACAATAATGTACAGGTACAGTATTTGTGCATTGCACTGCAGAGTCATTCATTCCAGTAGAATAGATCTGGACTTAACACATCTGCAATGCAGCGCAACATATTGTACATACTGTGCATGATGGTACGCTGTGCTGCAAAAATAGCACAGGTATCTATCATCTGCTCTGTGCAGGATCGACTTGTCAAAAAACAGCTCAGTTCTGCAGATTACTGGCACAGTCCAGCTCTCCATATGTAATCAGTAGAGCTCCACTGTCAGTATGACAGCTGCCTGTTCTGTATATCAGGAGCAGGGGCGGACTGACAACTCATGGGGCCCCCGGGCAATAGGGGATCATGGGGGCCCCTGTGTCTTGCCCAAACTGAAAAAAGCCTATGAAAAAGGTACCAGGGGTATCTCATGGGGCCCCCTACTGACCCCGGGCCCTCGGGCAGTGCCCCAGTTTCCAAATGGTCAGCCCGCCCCTGATCAGGAGTTCTGTTCTTTTCTGATAAATGTGAAAGTTCAGATGTGAAAGTGAGAGTGGAGCTCAGCTGATTACACTGTTGTAACCTTAATTCTATATTACTTATATTACTCTATATTACTTTCTTTAAAAATGTTTGCCCCTTAAAAACTTGTAGGTATCCCTAGTTAGTTTTTAATAACTCCTCCACCTCTTCCATTGGTTATTTTTTTTCTGCCTCTATGTAAACTTTTTGCATTCGTTTGTTTTTCATATTGTCAAAATGTAAAGAAATACATAAAAAATATCAGAATAAATTTTGGTACTTTTCATGAAATATAAGCTACCTTTGTTCTCTGATACAAGATTATTGCCGTCATGTTAAAGTAACTGTGTCGATAAAATCACAGTGCTTAAAACAAAGGGGAAAATTCTATATCTACTTACCAAAGTGTAGTTGTGCAAGCTTCATCATTCTCAGCTCAGAGGAGTATCCTTGTCTTGGGTGCAAAAGGATTTTGTCCTGCGCTGGTAAGCGTGTGTGTGGTGGACAATTTTGAAGAGGCATTTAGACAACCTATCAGACATACACACCTGCCTTTAGTTCAATATTCAAATAAGTCATGTTTTTAATACTACCTGCTCATTGTTTTGGAAGGCAGCATCGAGGGATAAGTCTACTTGAACTTTAACCACTTGCCCTCTCCTGATTTGATCGCCTGTGCGTTTTTTTTATTTTTTGCATTATTAAAAAAAAAGTCTGACAATTTTGAGAAAAAAACAATATTTTTGAGTTTTTACTATTAAACATGTCCAGTAAAAAAATATGTAAAAATCAAATATCATCATAAATTTAGGCCAAAATGTATTCTGCTACATGTCTTTACTAAAAAAAAATCCCAATACATGTAATTGGTGTGCGTGAAAGTTATAGCATTTACAAATGGTGGTGGTATATATACTGGGATTTTGTTTTGGTAATGGCATCGATCAGCGACTAATAGCGGGACTGCGGGCGGCGGGCATTCTGACACTGGGGGAAACTGACTTGGTGTCACTGACATCCCCAGTGACACCAATACGGTGATCAGTGCTAAAAAAAAAAGCACTGACACTGTACTAATGGCACTGGGCAGGAAGGGGTTAACATGAGGGGCGACCAAAGGGTTAACTGTGTGCAGGGAGTGTTTTACTGGGGGCCGTGTCTGTGTGCTTCACTGTAAGCACACTGCTTTGGATGGCTGTGCTGTGCCCGGACCCAGTGATTGACAGCCGTGGCTATGTATGTCCATGCTGACAGGAAAGAAATCTGTGTTGTTTACATACAGATCTCTCCCCTCTCAGCCCTGCCGATGATCACGAGTCCCAGCCGACATATCCACCAGCCAATAGCAGCACGGGTAGGGTGGAGTGTGCGCGCCCCCTACCCGGAAATGCGAAATCGTGTATATATACGTGATTTCGCGAACCCGTGCCACCCTGTAGAAGTATATCTGCTAAAAGGCGGTCGGGAAGCAGTTAACGAACAAAAATATTTAGCTGCTCATATGAACAAATAAGAATACAAACGAACCATATGTCCGTATCCTTGTTGACAAAGTCCAGAAGTGACAAAACGCGTCCAGGGCACGTGACGTATTGATGTTCCCAGAAGTGCCGCGGTGGCCATTTTGGATTCTGGAGCGCTTGTGTTTGGCGTTCCTGGGACTCGCAGTGTACTCCTGGTGCTCCCCCAGAGCTGAAGTGAGAGTGGTGGGCAGGAGTGTGACGATGTGACTCCCTGGAGATCATTTGATATCACAATGGTGGTACTCAGTTGTTGCTAGGAGCAGGAAGCCGGTTTTACTAGATTTTAATGAACAAGAGGATGCCAGTTTGGGGATTTTCCATGCACACTGGTTGATCACATGCTGATATATTTTTGAGTTAGGGTAATTATGCATTTTTTATATGGTTTGCAGTGATATCTATTGAGTATCTTCTTCACGAATGCTGTGACACTATAGTGTTTTGCATGCTGCACGTGTGGCACTATACTTGTGATACCTAAGATAATACACTATGTCTAGATTTTGTTTTTTTTTTTTAGGTATATGAAGAACATCGGAGGTTTTATCTTCATTTTGGAATAGTGAGCACTTATCCATCAAGATTTGGATATCACGTTGGACTTTTTTTGAGTTTTATGTGAAATTTTGGACATTTTATTTTTGGGACTTTAAGTTTGTTCATTTAAGTTGGTTGATATATTGTATAGATAAGAAATGACTCCTCTTATTCCGCACTGATCCAGTTTCCAATCACATTAAGGTATCATATCATAGTTCAAAAGAGAAAGACCATATAGTGTAGTATATCGTATAAATGGGTCTACGTTATTAAAAATGTGCTTACAAGAAAACCTCTTTAAAATCGCATATCCCCTCAGTAAAGTATTATGTCCATCCAGTACAGCATAGGGTACAGAACCTTTCTCACGATGGCCACTCCGCTACTTCCGGTTTACGTTTACGTCCGATGTCACGTCCCTTAAGGGATCAGTGCGGAATAAGGGGAGTTATTTCTCATCTATGCTATTGGACCAGTATTCTTTGAGGATGAGGATGCATTCGTAGGATCAGTTTTTGAACGGATTCTAAAATGGATTGAGATTTAAAGATATGTACAAGTATTTTTAGGTAAGAGTATTCAATTCAGCCACATAGAAGTGGACACTGGGTGATTTATGCAAATCTTGAACACAATACACACTGATATTTTGCTTTTGAGTTTTATTTTGATGTTTATGTAATAAGGATAGTGCACTATATGTAGTTTTTGTTTTTTTGAGGTATACGTGGATATTTAAGAGTGATATTTGGAGATGGACCAAGCAGAAATATGAATTTTTAATAATATGTGAAAGATTCACAGACGCTGAGAGGGGTTTTATTTGTCCTATGAAGCTGCATAACCCCTGACCCTCTATCTGGACAGTGCTGGTTGGCCATATGCTGATCACATGTACTGTCCCAAAGAAAAAAAACTCTTTAGCAATACATGCTAAACTGAGCAAGTGCAGAGTGACTCCTAAAGCTCTGTACTATCAACAGATGGATTGGGGACAATAGAAGAAAGGAGAGATCAGAGAAGACAGGATCAAACAGCTTTTTTTACACAATTCAGAGGATTAATCCCTTAGATTCCACAGTGAGTATAACAAGCATACTTTACTGCATATACAGACTGATTTCACTGTTGTGGGTTTAGTAACACTTTAACTTTAAAATGTAATTATTATTGCATTATTAAAATATGTTTTACTTTTAATCTGTTCCATGTTTTGCCTATTTTTTTCTAAAGATGTGATATGCACATATAAATCAATAGTGTTGATAACAGTTTCACCATATTATAGATGGGTGCCATAATCTTTAATAGAATTTAATAAACACCTTTATGTGAAAATGATTTTTTTTACTGATGTAATTCTGCACAAGGATGTAAAGCTTAGATCCATTAGCATCAAAAACAATAACAGTATACATGATTAAAAAGGAGTCAGTGATTTCTTTGTGGCCTAGCAGTTTTTCATGTTACTTCATAAATGTTTCAGAAATGTATTACATTGAAAACTTAATAGCTCTGTGAGAGTGGCAGTCATGTTTTATATTTACTCTGGAATGCTTGGCTTTCTGGCAGAAAACTTGTTTTAAAACACATCTGAACAGAGGTCCCATAAGCAACCATCATTTATGCTGGAGAGCTATTAGCACATAAATCAAACTCTTGATGAAATAATATGGAATAGTTTAGTTGTTTGGAATTTCTGGCAAGAAATCTTTTGTGCACTAAGGAAAAATGTTATAATGCTTTAAACAAGCTGAACTGAACTAATTGAAAGGCTTACTGACAGGATGCAATGACATCGTGTTGGGTGATGTAATGGCTTGTTACTGCAAATGCATTTCTGACACGCTTTTGTTTTTCACATAAATAATATCTATCATTTGTTCAATAGATAAATATATGTGTGAGTAGTATTTAAAGTGGTTCTCAACCTGGGGATCGCGACCCCTTTGGGGGTCGAACGACCATTTCCCAGGGGTCGCCTAAGACCATCGGAAAACATATTTCCGATGGTCTTAGGAACCGAGACACCGCTGCTCTGTCTCGCGATCTGTGGGCGGGATGATATGCTGCCCCTGTAACCTGGCCATACCTCCGGGATCACTCAACAGCTCCGCCTCCTCGCCGCTGATTGGCCACCGGAACTGTAGCTCAGGAGAGGCACACAGGCGGCCAATCACCGGCGAGGAGGTGGAGCTTGGAGAGGAGGAGCCAAGCGGCAGAGCGCGCAGATCGAAGAAGATCGAGGGACTGCAGGACCGAGTGAAGAGGAGAGAGGCCAGAGAAGGAAGACAGCTGACAGGTAAGTGCAAATTTTGCTTCTGCAGGCTGTAGATGGGAGAGGGAGAGAGCGAGCCCAGGCTGGAGCAGGAGTCAGCAAGGTAAGTATCATTGGTGTCAGTGGGAGGAATAGTGCCCCATCATTTGTGTCACTAATACCAACGATGGGGCGCTATTCCTCCCCCCACTGACACCAACGATGGGGCGCTATTCCTCCCCCCACTGACACCAACGATGGGGCGCTATTCCTCCCCCCACTGACACCAACGATGGGGCGCTATTCCTCCCCCCACTGACACCAACGATGGGGCGCTATTCCTCCCCCCACTGACACCAACGATGGGGCGCTATTCCTCCCCCCACTGACACCAACGATGGGGCGCTATTCCTCCCCCCACTGACACCAACGATGGGGCGCTATTCCTCCCCCCACTGACACCAACGATGGGGCGCTATTCCTCCCCCCACTGACACCAACGATGGGGCACTATTCCTCCCCCCACTGACACCAACGATGGGGCACTATTCCTCCCACTGCAAAATTACAGTTCTGAAGTAGCAACGAAAATAATTTTATGGTTGGGGGTCACCACAACATGAGGAACTGTATTAAGGGGTCGCGGCATTAGAAAGGTTGAGAACCACTGTTCTAAAGGCTGAACATTTTTACCTTAATGCATTCCCTGCATTAAGGTAAGGAATGTTGATGCATTTGTATCTGCCCCTAACCCCCCTGTATACTTACCTGAGCCTGATCTCAATCCAGCGCTGTGTCCATCAACAGTGGCTCTCTCCTGTCTCTCTGCTCAGAAAAGCAGAG